GAAGTCCTGACTGTAGGTATTTACTGGGGGGTGAACTGTACTGCTTTTTGGAAGCACCTGAAAAGGTTCTCATTTTCCAGTTTGATGCATGTTGATGTATGCTTGGAAGTAAAATTAATTGTACAGATTTTTCAATATGGTTCCAAAAGATATGTGTGTTCTTTATGGTATATGTGCTCTATAACCACTAGCTGTCATACAGAAACACTACTATTACTGCTGTTTCAGCTTTACTAAAAGGTATCTTTGGTTTCTAGAAAGCCAGAGGTGGGGGAAGGAAGTAGAACAAAATTAAAATAGAAAGAACAAAACAAAATAACACAGTAAAGCACCTTAGCAGCATTGAAAGTCTTTTTGGACGTTGATAAATACTCCATATAATGAATTTAAGCAACAGACTTCAGCACACTATGTGACAGTATCACCAGCTGCTTGGCAATGTAATTTATTGATCCTATCACAAAAGTGCTTTGCTAATTACATGGAAAACAGTCTTGTGAGTAGTACTCAGAGGGTTTATTTGCTGTCCTGTTGAGCGCTGTGCAATATGCTTGTATGTTCAGTCTTTCCATTAGAAGCAGGGATTGTGACCCAAACAGCATTTCTGCATAGTTCTCTCTCTATATATAGTAGAATATGTGGACTCAGGAAGTAATCTTGAGCCTACTTTCTCAGAGTCAGGCTTTCAACAAGCTGCGCTTCAACCAGAACAGACACTTGTGAAGACACTACCATCTTCTCTATGATAGTTTTTCTCCTTTTGTTAGGGGTTACTCTCCCCATAATTCTTGAGGTTCACAGAAATCTTTCTAATAAGCTGCTGGCAAAATCTGAGAAGCTGATTCAAACCCTCTATTTAAATTTAAAGCTGTCCTTCCTAGCTGGTGTTGTCTTTAGCACAGATTAGGGCGCACTCATTTTAAGCACTATATTAACTGGTTTATGTGGATGATTCCTTCTAGTTAGTGAATGGAGGTGAGCAACTGTGATGGCACGATCCTTAACTGACAGAGCTTGATTTGGAGAAAAGAGCTGGTCTACAGCTGCAGGATACAAATGCTAGATGAAGAACTGTACACCATGGAAGATCCTCTCAAATCTTAATAAGATTTAATGCTAAGTGCTGCTTAAGCTTTTCACTGCCCTCTGCATAATTTCAGGCTGTAAGCATAAAATCACTGATGATAAAAACACTACTTGAACAACAACTTACTTGAAGCAATAGAAAGGGAATTCCAGCCTATCATGATTTTCAGTTTCTGTAACTAAGAATAACTTTGACAAGGACTATTTTCACAGACAACTCAAAAGGTGGAATATGGTTTTATTCCATTATTTTTTTAATGCTGAAATTATTCATTTGTAACATGATAAAAATGAAAATTTTAACCTGTCTGTATACTAGTTTTACATTATGATTTATGATGAGAATTATAAACTTCCACTCCAATGGAAACACATTTCAAAACATCTGCTAAGCATCCATTGAGGCATTTTTAGTCAAGGAATACCATACTGAACGGCAGAAATCTGGACTATAGCTGTTGCTTGGGTTTAAAAAAAGCCAAGACAACAGCTGTCTTTTTCCTCCTCCTTTCCAGTTAATTCATCATAACTACAGGTAGCAATAGGCTCCATTGCATGCCAGTAATGTGCATTCATAAATACACAGACTAGCGATGACACTGCTGACTACCAGGATTTTGACTCAGAAAATATTAGGTCAGCTTCTGTCCTTGAACAAAGAGAAGCTTAGCAGAAAGTCAAAATTTTCACTGGGATTTTGTGTGTGTGAGGGAATGCAAATGTGGCCTCTAAACATATGTGGGGAGATGACGGCCATACCCTTCTTACTAGTGATAGTTTGCGAGCTGTAGCTCTGTAGTACACTACACTTGCCCGTTGTTAAAAAACAAGTTTAAGTGACTTAGTACCACTTATCAAAAGGTTTTTACATTGTGAAACCTAAATATGAAAGTAAATTTCTGCTCCTTATATATATAAAATCCTTTTAAATGAATAAAAGTGACCATCCCCATGCCTCGGAAAACATCAAAATAGGAAAGCAACATTATTATGGGATAGATCTATTTAAATTTTTAATCAATTTCATTAAGCAGCATGACAAATTGTCCAAGAACACACAAAGTAAGTAATGGATAGGTTATATGATTGAGACAAGCTTTAAACTTATTTATTACTAGTGTTTTAACAGGAAAACATGCAATAGGGGAACTACACTTCCTTCTTGGTCCCTTTTTTTTTTTTTATTATGCATGGGTTTCTTATGAAAAAGATGAAGTTTTTCTTGGCCAAACGAAACAAATTTCTGAATGGAGATGCCATTAACTGTAAAGTAAATGTAACAAATTTAAGATGATAAAGAATAATGATAACTAATATGTAAAAGCCTGATATTTTTATTCATGCTTTATGACTCAAGGGTGTAGTACTTTGAATGACTGTTGCCTTTGGTGAGCATCAAAGGTTCTTGGATCCTGCCAGGAAATTCTAAAATGTGTTAGGATGAAATAGAATGAATGAATTAAAGTATTTTCTAACCTGTGGGCTAAGTGTTTAGATGTTAGTATTAGAAAAGCAGGAAGGTAGAAATAAGAACAACAAATAATTCCACTAGAGAGCCTCTATCTTGCACAAATATAAAAAGAATAAAGATATATATATTTGTATATATACACCCCCCCCTTATATGCATATTACATAATGAACCTATAGATCAGTCACAAAGGGATTTTTTTTTATACACAAGTACTTTTTTCAAGTGCTCATTTAGCCACATGTTCAGACCTGACTTCCCGATGCAAATGTTAACTTCATATGGAAACCTATCTGTCAGCTTTTGAATTCCATCTAGCTCTGTCACTGCCTTGTCCTTTATTACTAGGTAGCGTTGCTATTCTGGACAGTATGAGACTGAAGGAAATGGGACACCAGATCTAACTGTGTAGTCGTTCTGTGTAGATTTTCTGTTGGTGCTGATCTTATAACAGTTCTTGCTGTTATTCAGCAAAACTAACGTGATAGAGGTGCTTTGGCACTTGTCTGAAACACTTCTGTGTCTGTGAAGTATATATGAAGTGACAGATGTTAGTGCCTTGCTGGATGATAGTCTGCTCTCAGGTTCATTTGTGAACAGCAAATCAGTCTTTCCATTGAAAAATAATGATTTTTTCCTCTAGGCAATTTCTGATTTGTGTGCACTTCTGCAACCATTGCAAATGATCTGTTGGTTTTGTGTTTTTGAGCTCTTAACTACTGTCATGTGTTCAGACCAAACCTGTGACTATTTGACTCTGCTTTGTCAGCTGTCATTGTTGTAGTTTTTTATTACCACTGAATTGACAGCTTTGTGTTTAGAAAAAATATATATTTACATATATTAAAAAGAGTTTCTTGTCACTCACTACTTATTTTATGTGCAACTTTATAGAAGGGCAGAAAATAATGCATACTTATGTGTGATGTAAGTTGCTGAAAGGTTTTCGTCTGATCCAGGCAAGATGCAAGATCATCAAAACTGACAAGTTCCCATTAAATCCTCCATGACCCCACCCAATATGTTTTCTCAGAGAAAAAAACAAACCACATGTCCAGCTCTAATCTTTGCTGATTAGATGAGGAATTAAAAGCATAAGAACATGAGGTCTTGCCTAAATTTGGGTCTTGTGTGTCCTCCCATGCATGTTAACTGCAGCCCTTCTGAAGTCTCAGTTATAATCTTTTGTGTTGCATAGATCTGACCTGAATCCTGCTCTACTTAATGGACTATGATCAATTCTAGAGTGTGTGTGTTGCATGACTCCACTGTAAAGCCAGGTTGTGACAAGCACTGATATGTAGAATAAACAGTTGGTGTTGAGGGCTTGCTGTCTACACTATCCATGTTTCAGAGACCTTTGCTTTGGATTGGCTTTATCTTGCCTCCATGTGTCTGAAGGCCCATTAGAGGATGGAGCGTACTGACTCCTGAAGCTCATTTTTGGTTTACTTTCATCTGAAGTGTATTGCCAGTAGCTGTCAATCTGCTCTCCCTGGTGTAACTTCCAGTCTTTTTGCAAAATTGCAGCTACGTTGTTCTGTGTACAATATTGTGTTAACTAAAAACCCCAAGTCTGCAAATATTTCTGGCAGGTAATTAGTGACAGCAGAATGTGATCTTATTTGTACCATGTAGAATAGAGGTCTAAAAATAACTTGCCCTCTCAGATGTTGCTCATTACAAAATGGGCATGTTAAAAGGAAGGGTCTAGTGTTAAAACAGTAGCTTGAAATTAACGAGTAAACACAATGAACAAAAAATAGGAACAGAAAAATCAGAGGGTTACATCACCAGGTTTGGTAGTAAATGGCAACTGCTGAGATCACAACACACGTTTCTGTTCATCAGAAATCTACAAACTCATCTTTCAACTTATTTGCAACAAATCTGGTTCTAAACAAATGGCTAAAAGTTACCCTATGTCTCCTTTAAATACACTGGATATCTCTGACTTGACAGTAATTCTTACCTCTCCCCTGCTCAAGTATTATTTCAATCAGCTGGCAGTCTGTTTGTTTATTCACATTAACATTTCCAAATGCAGAGTGCCCGGCCAGCAGTCACTGCTCTGCAGAGCTGCCAGTGTCTAATTGTTTCCGGCAATGGTGACTGCCTTTTTTAGGCTTTTTTTCTTCTCCCCCCTCAACTGGCATTTCAGAGCAGCAGCCTTCAAAATGAATTAGCTTAATGCATTTTGAGCTCAACCAAATCTTCCCATTACTGCTGCTGTCTACCATTCTACTTGAAATCAGCATGCAGTATAAATGATTTAGACATATGAATAAATAAACCTCTAAATATCCATATCCTTGCAATAGCAAAACCAGATCAGATATAATTTTTAGAACAGCATATTGCTACAAACACCAGTTCGGCAAGCAAATGGATTCACATTTGTAGGACATTGTGTTGTGATTTAGGAAGGTGAAGGGTAACTCACTTGAGCATGTTAGTTTGATGGACATGTAGTCTCTGCCACAGTCCTTCTTATAGTGACAGCGTAGCCAGTTTAAGAGACAGAGTCCGTCACCACACTGTAGTTCTTCTTTTTTACATGGCAGAATGCTCTGTTCATCTGAAAGGAGAAGAAACAATAGATGACTCAGTGTAACAAGCAACTCCTTCCTGAGCAACAAAGCCACATGTCTCCTGAAAGTCAGGAAAGTCTTATTGCTTTTGAAAGGCCTGGGTGGATGAAAACACTCTGTCCTCTTTGTCAGATGTGAAAAGGGTCTCAGACTCAAGCAAATATTTCCTATGCTATTGTGGCCGATCATTTAAATAGTGTTTGAGACAGATGAGGTCTAGGTGAAGCATACCAAAGAAATCGCAAGGGTACCATGTCTCTGTGGCACCTAGCCTTCTGACTTAGATGCTTTAATATCCAAAACAAAACAATCCACCTTTGCCCCAGCTTACACACAAAATGGATAAATGAGGGGAAAAAACAAGATAACTGCTATCTTGCATAAACCCAAAGGACTGGATTAAGGGCTTCTTCGCTGTAAGTGTAACTCTCTCACAATCTCCTTCCAGTTTGACAGTTAAGGGTAGGAACTCAGCTTGATAGAGTGGGGATTTTTTGAATAATCTTAAAAAAGCCTTCAGTAAATTCATGGCAATGTAAACTCAGGTTTGGTTTGCAGAGTCCTTAAATCCTATATAGTAGGGTCTGCAGCTCTGCATGAAGGCAAATCTTTGACTGGCTCCTCAGCCACTTCCCAGGAGTACTGTTGATACTTGGTGGGGGGGGGGGGGGGGGGAGAGTAATTTTATCTTTTCCTTTGATAACGTATTATGGTTCCTTTTATCTTTATGCATAAACACATTCATGAATGGAAAATTTCTGCTCTCAAATGAGAGATGGTACCAGCCTAAGCCCTGTAATTTAAAAAAAGCAGAGTTTCAGGTCATGCTAATATTCACCTGTGCAAAATATATTTGCACAAGAAATGGGAGTGCTGGTGCCAGTGTCATCACTTGTCATATCTGAACAGGATCACCCCTTCCTAGTCCAGAGGTTCTGAGGGTACGCCTGAGGAGAGTGGTCATGGCAAGTGCTATGCCAGCAAATAACAGGTGTTTAACTTTCACTGGCTATTCAAAATAGCTATTTTGTTTGATGTCCATAAACATTCAAACAGCAGCTGCATGATACAGAATTTAAAAAGGAGTTGGAGAAGCTCTACACATTTTTTTTTTTTTTTGGTGACACTTTAACTGCACAATACAAAATATCCTATGGAATGCCAGTGACCAGCCGTACCATCTAAAACACACTGAGCAAATCACTGAAAAAGGAACTAATTACGTAAATGAATTCCAGTTTGTTAGGTTAAAAATCTATTAACATACTATAAGGAACAAACAAATTCATGGAGATCAGAAAGTTGGAAAATTATCCAGGAAAAGAGGGAAAGAAACCTCCTACATTAATCAGAGAAGGTGGTTTTGTGTTTTATTTCCCTCGCGTTTCACCAGTAGCGCTATTGAAAGTGGTCTTGTTTTGATGATAGATAAAAGGAAACTATTTTCTGACAAGTGCATCTGAGTGTGCAAATGGATGCACTGTGACGTCATTTAGTTGCATGGTGTTATATGGCCTTCCAGTAATGAGAAAGAGGAGTAAAATGGAAAATAGTTAACTAGTGACAGAATAAAAAGGTTTTAAGTTTGGCAAGGAAGACCTTTGTGTAGAAAGTCTTTGGAAATCAGCTTTAAATTTCATTATAGTACTAGAGCTGTATTCAGGTTACTTTATGTGTGCAATCTAAAACATTCCAAATGCAGGCAAATAAAAATTCAAGTGGATATCACAGAATCATCTAGGTTGGAAAGGACCTTGGACATCATCTAGTTCAACCGTTCGCCTAGCATAGTTCCCACCTACAGCATATCCTTAAGCTCTAAATCGACCCGATGCTTGAACACCTCCAGGGATGGGGACTCCACCACCTCCCTGGGCAGCACATTCCAGCACCTGACAACCCTTCTGGAAAGAAATGCTTCCTAACATCCAGTCTAAACCTTCCCTGGCACAACTGGAGGCCATTCCCTCTTGTCCTATCGCTTGTTACTTGGTTCAAGAGGCTCCTCCCCAGCTCTCTGCACCCTCCTTTCAGGTAGCTGTAGAGGGCGATGAGGTCTCCCCTCAGCCTCCTCTTCTCCAGACTAAACCCCCCCAGTTCCCCCAGCCGCTCCCCGTACGACCTGTGCTCCAGACCCTGCCCCAGCTCCGTTGCCCTTCTCTGGACACGCTCGAGTCATTCAATGTCCTTTTTGTAGTGAGGGGCCCAAAACTGAACACAGGAATCGAGGGGCGGCCTCACCAGTGCCGAGTACAGGGCTCAGATCCCTTCCCTGTCCCTGCTGGCCACGCTATTGCTGACACAAGCCAGGATGCCATTGGCCTTCTTGGCCCCCTGGGCACACTGCTGGCTCCTGTTCAGCCGGCTGTCAATCACCCCCCAGGTCCCTCTGTGACTGGCAGCTCTCCAGCCACTCCTCCCCAAGCCTGTAGCCCTGCTGGGGGTTGTTGTGGCCCAAGGGCAGCCCCCGGCATTTGCCCTCAGTGAAACTCCCCCAGTTGGGCTCAGCCCATGGCTCCAGCCTGTCCAGGTCTCTCTGCAGAGCCTCCCT